CCGAGAAATTCACCTGCCTCTGGCTCCCAAGTGCTAGTATAAAGGACGTAGGCTACCACCACCCGACAATAATTTTATTTTTTAAAAAAGGATAGGTCAGCTACACTCCACAGCAGCACCCACGCCTGTAAGCAGCTGGACAGCAAAAATAAGACTCTACTTGTGGATTTAAAAAAAAAAGAGACAAAAACATGGAATTAGCAGATAGGGAGGTGGATTGGAGAAGAGCTGGAGAGAAGGGGTAAATATGATCAAATCTGTTGCATGAAATTCTTAATGAGTAAAAATATATTATTTTTAAGACAGTAAGGAGATATACCACAATGATGAAAGCTACAAATAGGAAGGACATGTAAAACAACCGAAACTTAGGCATGCTAAGCTAATCTGAAGCTCCTCTTTAAAAAATACCTTTCAGGGCCAGAGAGGTGGCTTAGTTGTTAAGGACACTGCTATTTTCCCAGGGGACCCTCATTCAATTCCTGGAAGCTGTGACCACTAACAACCACTGTAACTCCAGTCCCAAGGAATCCGACCTCCTTCTATGGCCTCTACAGGGCACTGCATACATATACATGCAGGGAAAACACCTACATACATAAAAATAATCAGTTAATTAAAAATTAATTGGGTTAAAAAACAAAAGCTTCAAGGGGCTAGAGATGGCTCAGAAGTTAAGAGCACTTTGTTGCTCTTGCAGAGGATAGAGATTGGTTCAGAACACTCACATATGGATTCAGATTCACTTCACAAGGACTTGAAAACTGTTGTTTTACTATAAATCCAGAGCAAATGGTAAAGTATGGTTTGTCCTCTCTAAAATTCATGCTAGAGTTTAGTTTCCATTGCATTAAGAGGGTAGAAGCTTAACAGAACTCATGTTTCAGAGTATTGTCATTGAGATGTGATTACAAATAGTTAAGGTCATCACAATAAAGTCCCTATATTAAATCAAGAAGAGAAGGAAACGAGAGGATGCATGCATTCACAAACACACACCCCTCTCCCTCATCTCTTGCCATATGATTACCTGAAACACCTCACTACTGCCAGTAAAATCATCACTAGATGAGGTCCATCAACCTTGGCCCAAGACTGTGAATCACAAAACCCATTTCTCAGAATTTACACAATCTGTGGTGCCATATTATTAGCGATGGAGAAGAGAATAAAACAAGTGGTATATAAAAAGAGAAAAGTAGTTTACGTTTTAGGGTTATTTCTACAAAGGTGCTCATGGGACAAGCTAAATTAACCAAATACTAACTGGGGAAATAACAAGTCTCAATACAAGCATCCACTAGGCCTCTTGAAGGACAAAAAGAGCAAGGAACAATCTCAGTAAAAGGAAGTCAGAAAACTTCAGAAGAAACTTAAATCTCTGGCACTGCATGTTTAATGCTAAAACCTCCTTAGAATCTGTATTTCAAATTGCATGTCTGATTTTCATTCAAAGGCATAAGAACTTCTAATAAATACATCCCATCTTCCACTGTGTATGGCCTGAAGACTCCTTGTTTAAGACTTAATTACAGAATTTATTAGAAATAAAACTCTGAGTTGGGAGTGATAGCTCATACAATAAGCCCAGCACTTGGGATACTGAAGTAGGATAGTAGGGAGTTGAAGGTCAGCCTGAGTTATTGAGTAAGAACATGTTTCAAAGTACAGACTCTGAAATTTCACTACTCAATAATGGGGTCCAAATATACATTTTTACCAAGAATCATTGGTTTGGGTTTTTTTGTTATTTGTTTGTTTTGAGGTTGAATCTTACCACATAGACCTAAGTAGCATGGAATTCACTGTATACTAGACTGGCCTCGAACTCACAGGTGCCACGCTGGGATGAAAGGGATGCACCACCATACCCAGACATTCTTAAGTAAAAGTATCCTAACACTCTTTCCGGTTTCATTAGAAGCCACCTATTCTATGACTCCCCCCATTTGGACTCAATTCATTGATCTGTGCTGTATGTATTTCTCTCCTAACGTGTAGCACACCACATCATCTCTGCCCACCAGTAGGTCCTCACTAACTGACTATAGCAAAGCTTTCCGTCCCCACAGCTAGCTAACAGCAGCTAATAACTATACACTGCTACATCAACTAAACAAGCCAGGGAACATGCACAACTCAACATGTGAGCTCAACTTTACTGTTCTCTCACAAATTAGCATGAATACGATTTCCATCATGACAGAGGGTATAAAAGAATTAGTATACCTTTAATAAATTTTCTATAGACTATTTTCACAAACTGAAAGCCAAATATAAGAAAAAAGGTTTTAAGACCACCCAAATCATGTATAAAAATATTTTTTTAAAAAAAGAGAATGAGGCTTAAAAAAAAAACAGAGCTAAAGAGCCAAGAAAAACAAATCTTAATCAGAAATATCTATATATTATGAAACAAAGTACTAAATCATTGAATATAAGAATCAGAAGATGACTCAAAGAATAACTCTACTTCTTTTGTCAAGAATCTAGAACCTATTGTTTTTTAAAAATAATTTTTAAGTATTTTACTTGCATTTTATATACCTTGACATTTTGCGTGCATGTATGTCTGTGTGAGGGTGTTGGATCCCCTGGAACAGAAATTACAGTTGTGAGCTGCCATTTGGGTATTAGGAATTGTACCCAGGTCCTCTGGAAAAGCAGCCAGTGCTCTTAATTGCTGAGCCATGTCTCCAGCCCCAGGAATCTAGAACTTCTTACAGAGTTGAGGAATCTTACCAAAATCATGTAACTAATGGGAAGACTGGGTCTTCAGAGTTCATGGGAGGTGCTCACTGTATGGTTAGCAATTTAAAAGAAACGCTAATTCAACTAAGCTACATTCTAAATTCAGCCCATCCTCACTAAATTCAGCCCATCCTCACTAAATTCAATTCTCAGGACTCCAAGCACTGACTGCAATTACATACACAAACATGATCAATTCTATAGCTGTGAACAACTTCAGTCAAACAACTCAAAAACAAGGTCAAGGTCACAATGAAGACAGTTAACTACCCAGCCTGACATTGTGAAAATCACCAGATTAGCTGGAAATATACCTACTTCTTTGAAGCTGGAAGAGTAGAATTCAGGGAACACATTCTGATCCAACTTCTCTGTGACTAGAACATATTGAAAATTTTTATTGACATTCTATTGTTAACTTTCTAGACTAAGAAGTCAAAAACTCACTTTACATTTAAGAAACTGAGACCAAGTTCATTAGATATTACCTCAAGTATACCATTGCCTGTTTCCAGACTCTGCATTCTTCCTTCTGAAAAATTTGAAGTGGTGGGAAGGTTGGCTAGATTTTGATTCCTTCCAGTTCTAATGTTCCCTCTCTAACTTCATTATGCCAAATGAAAACAGAACTCTCTTAAGGAATTTAAGTCATATTATGCAGAGGTACAAAACATTTTTTTTAAAAAAATCTAAAAGAAATGTAAGTCACCTGGTAGAGTGCAACAGGAACCAGATGAGTTTGAAAGATTTTATTCTCAAGACAGTTCAAAAGTCCTTCTAAAATCATCACACACAACAGTTAAAACTGGCAATATTTGTCTCTGAAAAACAGACACGGCCAAACTGGGAGTGGTGGCACTTGCCTTTGATCCCAACACTCAGAAAGCAGTGGCAGAGGTATCTCTGAATTGGAGGACAGTCTGTTGGACATAGAAGGCGACATGGCCAAATGAAGCAAGAATCAAACATGGAAGTGCCTGCGGATGAGGGTTTGAAATCTTTCATGTCAGTTGTCTGTTCAACTATCCCAGAACCCTGTGATCTTGGAAACATCGAGTCTGCTTTTAAAATCCTCTTATGTTCCAGAACATAAGAATAGTTTACTGCAATCATGTTCCCTACACAACTACTTGCCCTCCTCCCATTTTCCTAGAAAGCAAAACCCAGGCCTGTCAAAATTCCATTGCTCATTTCATAAGTTAACTTACAAACTGTGTGATCAGTCAACACCCACTGCTTCTTAACTAAAGTTGATGAAAATTTCCTTTCTAGGTCCCTAAACTTTATCCTGCTTTCAGCCTAAAACAGTGCAGGAACTCTCAGGATGGCTGGCCTCACAGTAAAACACACACCCTCTGCTTACTGCCCACCATACTCCTTTCCATTCTATCTTCCCACACCAGGCTCTCTAAGAAATCCTTTTCACCTAACCTTTAAGACACTTGCAAATAGTCTGTCTGAAGCTATTCTCTCTGCTGTAATTGCTCTTTTCTCAAAACAATACCTTTACAAATTTTCCTTCTGTTTAAATCTGTTGATACTCAACTTGGATACTGTCCTTTTAGAAATGACATTATTTCCAGTTCTGAAATAGTAGAGTTTTAAGAAAAGTCAATTTTATCTTACGTGCCTAGCGTTGCTTGTCTCCAAGAAACAAACAGGCAATGTCCAAAGGGTACTTCTATATTCTTAAAATCTTGGTCACAAGCCCGCAGCGGGAAAAGTGACAAAGGTGACAGGGACAGGTGAGAGCTGAGCAAGGTCATCGGGGGGCTACCTGGTGCCACAGGCCACGAGCGCTGCGGGCTACCAAGTCGGGGCACTCCGACAGACCCGCCCCTCCCGCGACCCCACGGGTCCCTGCCGTGGCCGCGCGCACTCCGGGCAGGTGGGGGTCCCGCCGGTTCACCCCAACGCTCCCGCAGGTTCCATTCAGCGCAGCGGCATCAGCCGGTCCTTTCACGGACTGACCTCCCCGCCCTTTCCTCCTGACGGCCGTCACTCTGGTCCTCACAGAAGGACTCACCATAACGCCGGGATAGGTCGTGAGACCGACACTCGAGAGTCGCCGGCAGCGTCCTGAACCTCCCGCTCCAGGGTCTGCAGAACGGATCTCTCGAAACCGCGAGGGAAAAGGTCTTCCGGCTCTGCCGGAAGTCCTGCCCGCGCGGGACAGGAAGTTCCTCCCTCTCCTGACCGCCCGCGACCCCACGCCACGCGGAGAGGAGGCTACGCAACGCGTCCTCTAAAGCGACTTCCGCGGGGACCGGGCTGGGGCGGGGGGCGGGGCTGACCTTGAGAGCGCAAGGGCGCAGGCGCACAGGTAGGTGGGCGGGGCGGGGTGCCGAGCGCGCTGGGTTCCTAGGTGGGCTGGGCGCTGTTCCCCGAGCCGGGGTCAGCTGGGTGGGAGCAGATCTCGCACCTTCTCGGTTGGGTGAGGATAAAGCGTGACCTCGCGGCTGTATTCGTTTCTAGGTAGCTCAGAAATCGTCTAGGTCAGCCAGCGTCCTTTCTGTCTTTCGGTTTTAATTAAGCGGTACCTTGAAGTCTTGGTTTAAAACCCCGGTCCTGCCGACCTCTCTTAGGGAATTTGACCTTTGTAAGTTCTTTGCTCTCCACAGAGGCCAGTGGATATCTACCAAGAGCAGAACCGAGAAGAAAATTCAATGTGGACGCGTCCCACCTACTTAATTCCAATATGAACAGAAAAGACATTATAACACGGCAAAGAGTGAAATTCTCATGCACACATGGAGGGGGTGTCCCAAAACATATATTTTTGGAGGGGACAAAACCATATGTACTGGCGAACTCTATATTGTGATGAGAATTAACATTGGAGGCAAGTTTGAAATAACTACACAGAGCATCATTGGTTCAGAAATTTATCCGACAGTTTGAGAAGCCTTATCGAAACTTTGCCTACCTTAACCTTCATCCATGAGATATCACCATAATGTGATTTTCGTCCTGAAAGAGTACCTAGAAGTAATGTTGTTCAACCTGTAAATGCCCAAGGGCGCTAGGAATCACTTCTGAGCCACCTAAGGAAGTTAGATGGGGCTGTTTGAAAAGGGTACAGGAGACAAAGTTTATAACTTGTTAGTTTTCAATTAGGTCAGGGTGGGGGTGATAGAGAAAGGATAAGAAATGTCACAAGCCGCTGCAACTCCAGTGGCCTTGGGGAGTAGTTTGTGAAATAGATTTCTGTTGATGATCAATCCAGAACTTACCCCCAAGGGTTCTGTTTCTGCTCTCCTGAGAAAAGGTTGTAAATACGGCTCCTGGCCAACTGCGGATGGTTGTGTGTGGTAAAGACGGATTGGGCTGTCTGCTGGGGTATCTGGGGGAAGCAGTTGAGGAAGAAAAGGTGGAGGAGAGTGGCTCTCAGTGACAGGCCCTCAGCCTGTCAGTGGCATCACATTCTCTGAAGTCTTACTCTTTCATTTATGACATTGTGGGTCTTGTTGCTGTCCTAAACCTGGAAGCCTCATGGAGGTTCACAAAACATCTCCTATATGACAGTAAGATGGAAATTATTAACAGTGTAGACTCCATTCCTGCCAGAGTAAAAGCAAGAAAAGAAGTCATGCAGTTTCTGCTATCTTCATTTGAGTAGACTGTCATAGCCTATGCTCTTTCTTTTCTGCATGGCACATTGATCGCCAATCCTTGGTTAAAATCCTTTAATATCACATGATTATCTCTGTTACAAAATTATTAAACAAGTAATATTTTAAAGATTAGTTTGTGTATGTTTACATTATAGCTACATAAAGTCTTTTATCCTATAAAACAGTATTTTCTATGTATCGCCTTTCTCTTTTTTTCTTAAAATAATGAATTTACCACTTCCCATTTCTTAAGTCAGTAGAGGTCTTTGATAAAGTTTCAGATACAGAGAATTATGAAAGGGAAGGGGGAGATGTTATGGTAACAATTTAAAGATCTTTTTGGCAAAGAAGTCATGGATACAATCTAAAGAAAAGTCTTGGCTGTTACCATTTGGTTTGTGAAAACTTAGAAATGTCTTCTTTGAGAATTGATCTCAAATATGTGTAAATATCAACAGAAAGCTACTTATCAGTGCCCATTCTGATCTGAAACTCTTATTAAAATCTATCACTTTTTCAAAGTTAATTTCTGTCTTTTACAAAATGTATAGATTTGTTTCACCTCTTTAAAAAGTTCCATTGTTTTCTTATTACTAAATGTGATTATGTGCTTTATTCTGTGATTTACATTCCTTTGCTATTTATCTGTGGCTATGTGGTCCTTGTGTTTTGGGCTTTTAGTCCTGTAGTAAAATTGTACTTAAAATTCTTTATAGGCAATAGTAGGAGCAATTGTGTTCCAGTAGCAGTAAAATATTGGTCATGCTGCCATGTACAGTTAATGGAAGATTATGTAATTGTTCTAAAAAGCCACTAGTCTCAATAGTGAAAAATGGCTGTCTTTAAGCTAGAGGAGGGTCCATGAGTGTGGAACCTCCATGATCTGTTTAGTGCCTTTGTCAGAGACAGAAGAGCTGTTTCCCTTTTAGTCAGCACCATGTGAGAACAGAGCAAGAACTCATCTACCCCATGAAGAGGGCCCTCTTCAAATCCACTTTTGATCACTATGAGAATCGATTTTATGGTGATATATGTTCTCAACCATAATAGCAGAAAGTATAGTGCACTTTCTTAGCTCTTTGTGCATGCCATAGCTATCACTAATGTCTGATAAAGTCTAGAGAGCCCCCTTTAGCATAATACTTTTCAGTACTAAAATAAAATACATCAGATTATAATCAATTGTGTGTGATACAGCAATAAATATGTTAAGTGTAGGCATGTACTTCTAAATTAATTTTATTAATTAATGGAGGATCTAATTGTAAAATTCTGGAGTAAAAACTATCAGTTGTGTCTTGAGACTCATAACTATGATAATGTGATAGGAAAATATAACTTTTTATAGGCAAAAAAAGTGACCAGTACAGTAGTAATACTGATGTATTGTCTATATTCACTATTGGAAGAAATTAGGTTTTATTTAGAAGTTAGCGAAAATAGTAGGACTGGGTCATTGGGAGAGCATTTGGTTAGCATGTATAGAATCCTGTGTGATCCCCAGCATGGGAGAGCATTTGGTTAGCATGTATAGAATCCTGTGTGATCCCCAACATGAATAAAAACATTAGCAGACATGACTGCAGGTGTGTGTCAGCATGAAAGTTTTTGGTGAGCATGTTTGAGACCTTGTGTTTCATGCTCAGCATAAAGAAATGACAGATATGGTGTGGGTCAGTGGGAGTGTAGGGAAAGAGGGCCAGCCGAAGAAACCCACTCCGGTCCTGAAAGCAGAACTAGTGAGAGAAACACACTCTGGATCTGAGACCTGAGCCAGTTAAAAACACTTGTATCCCTGAACCCAGAACCAAAGAAACACACCCTAACTCAGGAACCATTGTCAAAGAATTATACTTTGTCTCTAGAATCAGAGCCAGAAAGAAATATTCCCTGGCCCTAAAATTAGAGCAAAAAGACTAAAATAAGGACCAGTGAAAGAAACAGGATCTGAAATCAGAGCTATCTCTGCCCATGACCAACTGACCAAAGAAACCAACCAACCCCTGAGCAAGAAAACCAACCAATAGCTGATCAGGAAAACCAACCAATCTCTGAGCAGGAAACCAACCAATCCCTGAGCAGGAAACCAATCAATCCCTGAGCATCCTCACTCTAACCCAGAGCCAGTGAAAGAAACACATCCAGGTTCTGAAACCTGAACCAGTGAAAGAAACACACCCAGGTTCTGAAACCTGAACCAGTAAAGTAAACACTTTATCCCTGGACTCAAAACCAAAGAAACGCCCTGATCTGAAGTGAGTGCCAAAAAACCCCACACTTTATTTCTAGAATCAGAGCCAGTGAAAGAAATATGCCCTGATCCTAAGATTAGAGCCAAAAGCCTAAAAAGAGCCTGAGAAAGAAACACAGTTTGGCCCTGAAATCAGAGCCATCTCTGTCCCTGACCAACTAACCAATCCCTGAGCAGGAAAACTAGCCAATCCCTGAGCAGCAAAGCTTCCTGAGAAAACTTCACTCCTAAGAAGCACTAGAAAAGCCCCTCTTCCTGTTCAGTTGCAGGCTGTCCTTTCGCATCCTGGCAGTGACAGCCACTAACTTGGACTCCTCCTTCCCAAAGAAATCTCTTTCTTTAGAGTCTTAGGTGAATACCTTCATTCACCTGTGCAGAAAACAGAAAAACCTTGCTGAAACGTTGGCTTATCGGTAGCCAGAGATTGATACATATCTGCAGGGGTTTCCCCCTTAGCAGGGTGTGTCAGAAGTAACATACTGGGCCTCAGAAGAGTGCTCTGAGGAACAGAGCAAAGCTCAGCTGTAGAGGCTCTCTGGTGAAGAGCAGGATTGCTATATCCCACCGGGAAAAACATTCCTCACCACACCCCAGCTTCAGGTAGCCTGGCTTCCCACAAGTCAAGATACCTCTTCCTCCAGGGATGAGCTGTCCTATTGCAGCCCCAGCTTCCAGAGCTGTCCTATGCAGCTCTAGGTATTGCCTGGCTTCCCGATAAATCAGGATACCTTTGCAGGTCCAGAGCTTTAACACTCACACTTGCTTATAAGGAGAGCACTCGGTTAGTGTGTATCAGATCCTGTGTTTAATCCCTGATGTAAATAAAATAGCAGACAGTAAGTGGTTAATATTTTTCTCAACTTAATTAAAGCCTGCTTTATGATTTTAATCTTACTTTGCAGAATTCCTGACATATATTTTACTTCAGAAAGACCATCTTCACAAAACCTCTTACTTTCTGGCTTGAGATTATATCAAAAAGTCATATGCAAATACCTTCAGTTTATTAGAGTTTATTAGTGAATTTGTGAGCTGAGAAGTGAGTCTTAGAGCATCCAAAATCACATATAGACAAGAGGAAATTTGCAGCTGATACAGACGGTTTTATGCCTATCTATCTCAGACATTTACTGCCACAGGCTATTCTTCATAAAATAATTTATTGTTGATACATTACCATACAGCATATGCAATTTTTCAATACCTTTAGCTGTGCCATACTCAGAAAAGGAAATTCAGATAACTGAACACACTTAAAAGTTTCCTTGAGATAAAATTTTAAGAAGCAAAGTGAGGTTTTTCACATGCTTTTCTTATGCTTTAGCATTCTGGCACAGCACCTGGGGAACCTGACACTGACCAACAACGAGGAATTGCTCGTCTAATTGAAAGTGGCAGGAACCTTGGGAGAAAGCAATAGCATACCAAGGATAATTATAAAAAGTAGCATGAACACTAAAGCATAGTGTTAAGAATCCAAAGCTCCCAAATGAGGTTAGACTTGAAAAAAAAATCTAAGAGAGGACAAATAATGGACCTTTTACAATTCTGCGCAGAAGCAGCTAATCATGGGTGAGCCATGTGCAGCTTCTCGTACTGCCTTAGTTTTGAGAGAGAGAGCAGAGCTCCCTGTCTGGCTCCGTTAGTAACAAAGGAAGCACACGATGACATGGTGAAAGAGCCGTGTTTGCGTGTCAAGAACCTGGGTTTAATTTCTGTCCACACTATTAAAATGTACTGAGCTTCTCCAACAACCCAAGCAAAAACAGAGCCCTGCTGCTAAGGCTGGCCATCACCAAACTGAAAGCATCCATATCTCCAAACATGCTAGTGTGACACACGTGATAAAGAATATGTTCTTTCATCGCCCTGTTAGCAAAGTAACTTGGAAGTGACCAGTTGGCTTCATAGTCCTTGTTTGTACTTTCCTTAGCCTTGGTCTGCTTATTGAGCCCACCCCTTATCCCTGCTTATTGGCTCACCTATATTATAGAATGAGACACTACCCAATTTTAGAAATATCTATAAAAACCAGTCTAGTCTTTAAGATAAATGTGTTGTGATTTTGACATTTGGCAACAAATAATTTTATTACTCCAGGTAGGTGCTCTTACCATCTATAAGATGGAGATACCATTTCTCATAGGAATTTCCTGAATAATAGAAATAACGCATTTAAAGCATCGAATCAGGCTCACAAATTGTCTAGTTAAAGTTGTAGTGCTGTGAAGGAACACCATTACCATGGCAACCCTTATAAAGGAAAACATTTAATTTTGGCTGGCTTACAGTTTCAGAGGTTTAGTCCATTGTCATTATGGCGGGAAACATGGTGGCGTGCAGGCAGACATGCTGTTGGGGAAGGAGATGAGAGTCCCACATCTTGACCCACAGGCAGCAGAAGGAGCCTGTGTCATTAAGACCTTAAAGCCTGGACACATAAGACCTCAAAGCCCACTCCCACAGTGATATACTTCCTCCAATAAGGACACACCCACTCCAACAAAGCCACACCTTCTAATTGTGCCATTCCTTATGGGCCAAACATTCAAAGACATGAGTCTGTGCGGCCAAACCTACTCAAACCATCACACAAATAGTATCTAAGAAATAGTAACTCCAACTAGCTGTTTCTCCTCAGTTAAATGGTGGTGAAAAGCAACTCTATTCCTAAATAGCGAAGGCATTCTGACAGTTCCTAACAGTTCAAGCTTAGATTGCATCATCTGCTATGGGAGTTCCATTCCAGGCATTGGAGGGAAACTTAAAGGGGTCTGAGAACAGCATTTATTGAAGGGATTGCAGGAAACAAATAGAGCAAACTAAACCAAACCTAAGCTAATGTATATCCTTAGGGTAAGAGATGAAGCTATTTTTAAAAATATGTATTAACGTTTATGTGTGTGCTTCTGCATGTGCCTGAGTGGTAGATCCTCTGGAGCGGGCGTTATAGGCAGTTATGACTGCCTCATGTGGGCACAGGAACCAGACACAGGTCCTCTGTAAGAACAGCACGGGCTCTTAACCCCTGAGCCATCTCTCCAGCTCAAGAAATGGAAGTCTCATGTGCCACATAATGATATTTTGGTCATCAGCATGTCATATAAATGATCATAGTACTTCTGGATTATTATATAGAGAAAATTTCTATGGCCGTGTGATGTCAGCCATCCTAAAATTGTAACTCATTTTTAAAATTGTAAAATTGTTACGTTTGTGATAGTTTGGTGTAAGAAAACGCACTGTACTGTTGGTTGTATAAAACTATAGTCCACACTTGATAGCACTTATCTCACTGGTTTATGTATTTGCTATGTGTTTTAGTTTCTTAAATCCCTTTGACAACAGACCTGACAAAAGCTACTTAAGGAAGGAAGACATGATTTCAGCTTATAGTTCCAGAGCTGGAATGCCATGGAAGGGACGGTATGGGTCCGGAGCAAGGGGCAGCTGGTCACATTGCCTCCATGGCCAGGAGGCAGAGTGATGAGTGCCTATAGTCAGTTTGCTTTCTCCTCTTCATTCGGTCCAGAACTCTACACAGGAGAATGGTGTGGTCCACTGTTACACTGAATCTTCACCTCAGTTAACCCAGCTAGATACTTTCTCATTGACACAGCCAGAGGCTTGACTTATTGGTGACCCTAGGGCCTGTCAAGTTCATAACACCAACCATTACGATGTGCTTTTATCACATTTGAATGTAGTTTCTACTTATTTAAAAACTTTACTGCACCAGAAAGATAGTGCAATGGGTAAAGGTGCTTGCTGCTGAGTCTAACAACCCGAGTTCAGTCTCTGAGACCCACAGATGGGAGGAAAGTGTACCAACTCCCATAAGTTGTCCTCTGACCATACACAGGCTGTGGCATTCACCACACCCTCACATAAAATATAAATAAACTTAAGATAATTATAAAAATTTTACTGTAAAACAATTTACTGTGATGAGCCAGTAGTATCTCTGATATGTGTTTACCGCATCTCTTGATTCCTTCGAGAAGATGAGTTGACTGACCTATGTCTTTGAGCTCTGTGTAAGTATAGCCTATGTCCATTTGCCCAAGGGACAGAGATTTCCAAATATACAGAAACAAAAGAATAAATTTACTGAATAAAGGTTTAAGTGGAAATGTAATACTTAGAAACTAAGGTGGTGTGGAAAGAACAGGTCTCTTGATTTCTTTAAGGCAGTAAGAGGCAGTTTGAAAAGGAGAGAAAGCTTGAGACCTTATACAGGAAGTAGTAGTTAATGATAGCCCTTATAAGGTAAATCCATATCCTAATCTTTGCCTTGTGAACATTATTTCATCGGGAAGAGATGTTATTAAAAATCTTTGGTTGAGATTATCCTGGATCATTTGGTGAGCTGTAAATCCAATAACATTTTTATATGACAAAAAGGAAAAAAAAAGGGATTTTAATCATAGAAACGGAATGGGATAATATGGCCACAGATCAATGAACACTGATGTTTGCCAAAAGTGGAGAAAACTAAGAACGTGTTCTGGGATCTCAAGAGGTAGTCCAAGCCTAGGAATGTAAGCCCCTTGAGTCACAGGAGTGGCCAGGCCCCTCCCACAAGGACCTCTAACTGCCAGGTTCCGCCCACTGTGTACTCTTAACTGCCCTAACTGCTGGACCCTGACTCCATCCTACGGAGTAAAAAGCCCAGTCTCTGGACATGAAATCCCATTAATCTCCATCCTGGAAAGCTCCACCCACTTTCCAAGAAACTGTATCAGTCTACTGCTCTTTCTCACCTGAGCAGAAGCAGCCACCCTCCTACGTTTCCCTCCCAATAAACCTCTTGTGTAAAGTTTGTTGTGTGATGTGATGGTGCTATTTCTTGTGTGATGTGATGGTAGTATTTCTTGTGTGAAGTTTGCTGTGTGATGTGATGGTGGTATTTCCTGTGTGAAGTGATGGTGGTATTTCCTGTGTGAAGTTTGCTGTGTGGTGTGATTGTGATATTTCTTGGCTCCCGGGTGCCAGGATACCTTTCCAGTAGAGGTGTAATTCTTACAGCTAAGGTCATGATTTTGGAGTCTTGACTTAGAATGCCAGGAAAGGCAATCTTCCTGTTTTTAAGTGGTGAGAAGAGGAGAAAAAAAAACAAATGGAAAGATAAAGAAAAGAAAATAAAGGGAAGGAGGAAAGAAAGGAAGGAAAGAGTGGAGAGAAAAATAATTAAAATGAAAATATTGCTTGAAGAATCTCGGAGCAAAATAAAAAGAAGTTAAGCTTTATAATGTAATATTGCTTGATTTGCAAGCACATAAAAATAATTGATTTCTTTGTTTTATATATGTGTTTCTCCTATACAACAAAGTAAGTGATATGATTCAGCTGAAGGTTGAAGGCCTCAAAACCTGTAGAGTCAATGATGTCACTCCTACCCCAAGGCTCGGCAATGAGGTCAGTGAGTGCTGTCATAAATCCAAATGTTCAGAACCAGCTCTGGTATCGGACAGGCTAAAGGACACTGATTCTGTAACGCCAAAGGAAACCATTATTAGAGTACCTGTTTGGGCATGTCCGTGATCAACTGGAGGAGGCCTGCTGGCACTGATGTGGCAAACCAACAACGCAAAGACTAATCTCTTACAGAAATATAAACACGCGAATACCTACTAGCTATCTCTGTATCCTTTAGCCCAATCTGGGAACATAAAATTAGTCACCACAGTCAGGTTTAGAGGAAATAATAGATGATGAAGCGAGCAACAGAGGGTGAAGAGAGTCTGAGTGGAATTAGAGGGAATAACAGATACTGGAATGGACACAGGAGGGTAAAGAAGGTCTGAGATAGGTTTCAGGGTGATTATTTGAACCAAGATGTAGGTTTTAAATGACAGGTCGCACAGTCTCTGTGGTAATATGGATTACCAGGATTCAAAGGATACCCACAGGGTTAGCATGCCAGCAGCAGAAAGACATGTTTCAGCAAGGCAAAGCCCAATGTTCCCCAGAGTCAGGTAATCAGAGAAAGCATGCTTGATTAACAAATGTTTCTGCCTGTTTCTTTTGTTTGTAGAGGAAGTGAATCTGTGGCTGCATATATTTAAATCAATCATATTCAAAATATAGGATAAAATACTTCAAAAATATTTTTAAGCCTCAATATACAGTTATAGACAAGGTATTGAAAGTGGTATAAAGTGGAAATTATATCACTTACAAACTGTCCCTTCAATTTGTTTAACTGGAAATTTGTTCATTCAGCTAAGATTTCCTGATAACCTGTATGCCAAGATAGGACCATGTTGTTCCTTGGCAAGAGTCTTAATGTGGGATTGTCCTAGGTAGGGTTACTATGATGAAACAACATGAGCAAAAACATGTTGGAAGGAAATAATTTATTTTGTTATATTTCCACATTGTAATCCATTACTGAAAGAAGTTAGGACAGGAATTCACACAAAGTTGAAACCTGGAGGCAGAAAGTGATACAGAGGTCATGAAGGGTGCTGTTCACTGACTTATTCCTCCTGACTTTCTCAACCTGTTTTTTTTGTTTGTTTGTTTGTTTTTTGTTTGTTTTTCATTTTTTTATAGACCTCAGAACCACCACCCCAGGGAAGTACCACCCACGGTGGTCTGGGTCCTCTCCTATCAATCACTAATTAAGAAAATGCCCTAAACAGGCTTCCCCACAGCAGACGATCATATGGACACATTGTCTCAGTAGTAGTGGAGGTGCCTCGAGTTGACATAAAACCAGCCAGCACAATAATAGAACACATTAATC